TGTTTTCAAATTCCTCAGTCTGTGGTACAGCGGAGACCTAAAACTACATCCCAAAACGACTCAGCTCACAATTAGTACTCTATTATAAGGCACACGGAGGAATCCTGGGTTTTTTTCTCCCACGCAAGCATGAAGCCTAAAGAGCTGGAATATCTTCCGAGCTTAATCACTGTTTGGCACTTCTGAAAATTCCTTGCCAGCTGGGCGCCCTGACTGCCTCGTTGAGAAGCGCCACCCGCTGACGGGTAGTCTCAGCCAGGTATTCCGTAATGTCTAAATTAAGCCATTAGAGACAAAATAAAAAGAATCCCCCCCCCCAAGGGCCAACCGTTCTGAGAGATGGAACTGCCGGAGACCCGCGGGGGCCTTGACAAGGACGACGCGATAATTTTGTGGGTCCCTGAAGCGTAGAAATATTTACTTACTGTAGATATTTATTGTCTTCTTTCCTCCCCAGTGGGAGACACACGGTGACTTGCAATATTGTCCCCCCGCCTTCCATTTTGTCCTAACCATCACCCTGCAAGGTGGGCTTGCTGGAGGACGTGCAGCCGGCCCAGGAAGTTTCCACGGCACAGCAGCGTTCAAAATGAGTCTGACCCTCCAGCCCCAACAGCTGCACGCTGGCTCTCCCGTGCCGAAACACGCCCTTCCCCACCCCGTAAGCAGGGGTCCTGCGTGAGGCCAGTAAGCTCTCTCACCTCCCCCCCCCCACTAATGAATCCCACTGGAAACCTGGCAGGAAATCACTCTGACACACCGAGAGTCTCCATTCAGTGAACCCCCTCAGGAAGATTATTCCAAGCACAGGCGCGTGTCTAATTTGCGTTGTAAGACACCCCCCCAACACCCCCACCCCCACCCGCCGCCCACTGCCCAGCCCACCCACGAGCCCTCATAAGGACCCCCCAGGCAGGAAAGATGCTGCTGGAAGCTGTTCAAGAGGGCACGATTCTGGGCCAGGCTTTGTAAGGATGTCTACGCATCAGAGACGGTCTCCTTGCAACTCCAACAAGGTCCTTTCCACACCAGACCTTAAATCCTGTCCCCGAGCTCACATTCCGCACTTAGACGCGAGTTCAGCCCTGTAATGATCTTGGGGTATTTTTTTGTTTCCACATTACACTGAGGTCACCCCGGTTTCACCCCACACTTGTCCCGGGATAGATGGATGCTGTTATATCCAGGGATAGACGCAAGGTACTACTGTGTCACGAGTCGAACTCTGAGGATAAAACCAGGGACGAGATCCAAGTGCGGAAAGGACCTTCAAGTTGCCTTCGGTTCAGAATCAGACCACAAACGGGAAACAACCTCTGCTCCTACGAACTGGCTCAATCGGTGTCCTTGTGAGCCTTTTTCGTTCTTGTTACCAAAGAGGAAGCCTCGTGCCTGCCCCCAAGAGTCTCCCCCCCCCCGTGAGGCTTGTGAGTGGTGCGGAGTCCAGACAGGGGAGACTCCTCCTCCCAAGCTGGGCTTACCGAAAAGACCCTCGGCCAGGGAAGGAGCATCAGCGGAGATCCAGGGTGGGCAGCACAGGAAGGGGAAAAGCTCTCGGTGGATGATTCCTTTCTCTAATCTATTCCTCTCCCTCCCCACCGACCACTGACATTCTCGCCTACTTTGTGTTCACACTGTGACAAAGTCATATTCACAGTGACCTCAACGTGTTCCGGGCTCCAGCCCAGCTTTAAGAACATAAGAGAGAAGCCAGTGTTGGGTCAGGCCAATGGCCCATCTCTGTGTCCAACACTCTATGTCACACAGTGGCCAGAAATACCAGGGGCCATCAGGAGGTTCACCAGACATTAGAAGCCCTCCCACTGTTGACCCCCCCCCAAGCACCAAGATGACAGAGCATCACTTGCCCCAGAGCCCCTATCTATACCTTGTGGCTCATAGCCACTGATGGACCTCTGCTCCATATGCTTATCTAATTCCCTTTTGAAGCCGTCCATGCTTGTAGCACCCACCACTTCCTGTGGCAGTGAATTCCAAGTGTGAATCACTCTGTGGGTGGAGAAGGACTTCCTTTTATCCGTTCTAACCCGACCGCTCTGCAGTTTCATGGAGTGGCCACAAGGAGTTCTTGTATTGTGAGAAAGGGAGAAAAGTACCTCTTTCTCTACCTGCTCTATCCCATGCATAATCTTATAAACCTCGATCATGTCACCCCTCAGTCGTCTTTTCTCCAAGCTAAAGAGCCCCAAGCGCTTTAACCTTTCCTCATAGGGAAAGTGTTCCAACCCTTTTATCATTCGAGTTGCCCTTTTCTGCTCTTTTCCCAATGCTATAGGATATCCTTTTTGAGGTGTGGTGACCAGAACTGTACTGGAGAGCTGCTGCTGCCAGTCTGAGTGGGCAATACTGACTCTGAGGGACCAAAAGGGGAGGGTCTGATTCAATAGGGAGGCAGCTTCATGTGTAGTCCACGTTCACCACCTCCGTTGACAGGACACGTGAGGGACGCGAGGATTTTGCCCTGTGGCTGGCCCTCCAGGGGAACTGGTTGGGGCCCCTGCGTGAGACAGGAGGCTGGACTAGATGGTCTGACCCAGCAGGGCTCTTCTGAGGTTCTTCTGAGGGAAAGCTCGGTCTAAACACTGAAAGAAATGTGAGGCCTACACATCTCACAACAAGAGACGAGGGTTGACGCACCTCTTCCTGGGCTGGCACTCCAGACGTGGCCCTGGTGTTTCCGAAGCCACCTGCGTTCCTGTTCTCCAAATTAAACACGCTCAGCTGTTCCAAGTCCAGCTACATGCGATGCTGCCCAGACCCCTGAGCTGCTTCGTGGCTCCCTCCCTCCCTCGGGAGCATTTCCCGCTCCAGTGTGCCTTTGCCTTGAAGTCTGCCCGTGAGGCATGGACTTAGGACTCCAAAAAAGGCCTCACCCTTGTTAAGTCAAGTGGGGAAAATGACCTTCTCATGACCTCACGATGCGCCTTCAGGTGTGCAGCATGAACAGTGCATAGCATGGCCTTTGCACAGCTACGGTGTGCCCCACATAAGAACATAAGAGATGCCAATTCATCGTGGCTAGCCCCACACTGAGATCATCATTATGCGTAATTTTCAACATGGCCAAAAATGCAGAGTATAAAATCCGCACAACAAGGCCACGTACAGAGAAGGAACATTTCCCTAC